CAACGAACCCATCGCAATCTTCCACCCTATTCCTCCGCCGCTAGCAGACCCATCGCAATCCCTCCACTCATATACTACGCCACCAACAGATCCATCGCAATCCTCCACTCTAAACCTCCGCCACAACCATTATGACCATCACTCATGAACAGAGTACACAATCCCTATAATCGTCCGTCACTACCACCGGTCACCGAGTACACACTCCCCACTTGGGACGATTACATACACAGTAAAAAAAAAACACACACACACACACAGTCAGCTTTCGATTAACGGTCAAATCTTCGATTTCAGCGCCGTCTTCCGCCAACCAAACGACTCTTCAACACGGTACCGATCGATTTCAGCGAAAACTGCCGCCGGTTGATTCCACCGGATTCACAAATCCAAAACGGAGAGTAGAAAACCTAAACGATGCGTGATCGCCGTAGAAGTTGCATCGGAATAATGAATTTCACACACACACACACAAATCGAAATCCGAATAAAAAAAAGTGCATGTAAATGTGGGTGTTTTGAGTGGGTGGATGCAGTAGTTGATGGGTTAAATGGATTGAACTTTCAGAAGAAAGGGTCTTTCGATGAGAGAGAGAGAGAAGAGAGAGAGAGAAAGAACAAGGTTGCAGAGAAGAGGTGAAAGGGCGAAGTGGGGTGGAGAAGAAGAAAGGTTAAGAAATAAGGGTGGTTTGGGAATTATTAAATAATAATAAGGGTGGGATATTAGGTAAGGGGGTTTTCTCTAATTATTTTTGGAAGGGGGGTTTTTCTTAACTCATTTACCTAGATGAGGGGGGTATTGCTAATTATCCCCTAAATTAAATTCAAGAGGAGATCAATCAATGCAATTTAATTATCTACTGCAGTTTATTATAATTTTATTCGGCAAATTACGGCCACCCTTAGGTATGGTAAAATTACGAAAATAATCTATTTTATTTGGGTAATTATATCTATCCCTCATTTTAAATACTTTTACATAATTTATGTAATTCAGTTATTTACCGAACCAAATCGTATATTCAGTTCGGTAAACGGTATGAAATGCTGGCGTATCGAAATTTCGGTTCGGTTTTACCAACGTAACATTTCTAAATTTACCTTCTGGAAGGGTTTTTTCGAAAGATAATACATAGTTGAGGGATGTGATTGTAATTATCCAAACATGAGAGAAACTTTCATAATTTGACCGTAACAGAGGGTGGCCGTAATTTTGTCCTAATTTTATGTGATATTTAAAGATATGATTTGATTGGCTTTAAATGACCGAAAGTTTAGGAGAAAAATAAAAAGGGACAAAAAAGAGAATATGGTAGATGCTCCTCTAGGGATGGTAATTTTTACCTGACTCGCGGGTACCCGGCCCGATCCGCCCCAAAATATCCGGGTAATACCTTCCCCGCAAATAAATGGGGTGGGTACGGGTTCTAATTTTTCACCCGAAAGCGGGTTCGGGGTGGGTGCGGGTTTGTATATACCCGCCCCGCCTATATATATATATATATATATATATATAT